AATAGAGTTTCGAAACTTTTGATCATGAACGAAATTTGTTTAAAAGCTATAGTGGAAAAAGTCCACAGTTCTTCCTGAGAAAAACAACAAACCCTAATTAAGTCCCGCGAGGATTTGACGTCCGTAAGAGTGACTTTAATCCTTTGGGTAACACATTATGCGAAAAGAAACGGGCGTTGAGACGTCCTGAAACGAGAAAGAAAAGAAAAAACAGCACGAACGTTTCAAGTTTGGCAGCCGTGCTAAAAAGAGGAGCGCAGGTGGTCAGTGTGGCTCGCTCGGATTTCTTGTCGCTACTACTGAGTCCGTTGTGAGATACCGACACAGGCGCTCCGGAGGAAATGACGCAAGCGCGATGCGCCTCTGTTGCTTAGGAACAAATAACTAGGAACGCATTTGGACAAACAAAACCACATCTTTCGTGCGCGAGAGCTATTTTTAATGCTCAAGGTCCTCCGGGCTATTGACGTTTATCAATTGAAAAGTCGTTTCCAAAGAGCATTGCGCACTTAGAGCCATAACGTAAAAGTTCGTTATGGCAAGTGTTTCTTACAGGGGAAACAGTCGAACTTGATCTCTGTAGGCCTACTTTACATATGTGCTATAGGCAGATCTGTCAGCCAGTCTGTCAGTATTGCAAAATAAAACTCAGGACAATACTGGCTATCCATTGTCCCTTTTATTTCGATGCAAAACTAACTACTAAATAACTGAATAAACAAAGCATGCTGATTTCAGCTGTAATGAAACCATTATCTTGTAGATTAGCCTTAAGTTTCTTCTCAGAAACATAGCCCTTTGCTAGGCAACAAGTAAAATTTAATATGCATTATATATTATAATTTATGCATTATAATCAATCTGCTATTAAACGTGAAAGTTGTGCCAGTATGGTGCCAAGAGCAATGGTGGAACATCCCATTTAGAGATCAAAAATTTACAATCAAAATAAATCAAGTATTTCAGAGAGCCATTAAATGCAAGAAAAACATATGAAGAGTTCAGATGCAAAAACCTCTAAGTGCCATTTGAAATTTTCTTCTAGAATGACCATTTTTATCAAGCTTGTGTATTTAAGTTCAGTAATTTCACTTAAATGACAATTAATAGGTAATCTTCATTGCCATTTAAGTGAAATTACTGAACTTAAATATACAACAAGCTTGATAAAAATTATAATTTTAGAAGAAAATTTCAAATGGCGCTTAGAGGCTTTTGCATCTGAACTCTTCATATTGACCTAAATAAATATTTTCAGTAATAATTAGCGGAAAATAAATTTGATTCTGATTGACATTTTCATTTGGAACACTTAAAAAAAATCTCAGATCAGACGAAAATTTAAAGACCCGGTTACATTTCAATCTTTCAGTTGATTATCCCAAGCTAAGAGGAGGTAGCGGAAGCTGTTTTGAGCAGATTTACAAAACGAGGGCAGTGTTTGGATATGTGTGTGCCTCATTTTGCTCCATTTATACAAGCTCTCTGATCCTTTGTGTAGAGAGTAATATCGCATCTTAAACTGCAGCTCTGCTTGGTGTTGTGAAAACCCAACTCTCACAGATGCTGTGTCAGATAATGCATCTGCTGAGAAAAGCTGCGTAATCCATACTGTACACTCAATGCAGTCCATTAATTGTTTTAATTATCCTTATTATATTGTTTCTATATGCTGTCGGATGTGCTAAAAAGACAACCAGCAAGGTTTTAGGTCAGACTTTGGATTTCAGCTGCTGTGAAGCTCAGTTCAACACACGTGTCATCCTCTAAGCTCATAAAGAGGAATTAGAAAGGCCTGTCAGCAGACATCCACTACCTGCAGTACACAAACCACAGTCTCTCTGAGAGCTGTTAATAATCTTACAGTATATGGACAAACTGTTGCTCCCTTTAAGGCTTTAATTAACCTCATCCTTTTCAAGTCTATGTTCGCATTGACCCAATTCATTTTCAATGTAACTAAGTAAAGCTTTATTTATATATCACACCTTTTAAAAACGGTGTTTACTTGAGATACTTTTAAAAAGTGCATAGCACTTTGGGCAGTCTGGCACAAATTTACAGGATGGCTGCAGTACATTTAAACTATGAAACGGAAGTCGCAATCATCTTTTCTTCCTTATTGTTACATATAACCAAGTAAAACGCATCTGGAACAAGAAAAAAAGATTGGCGGGATTTGATTGGACATTTGTGGTTTGCTACCGTGCTCTATAAGTTACGATGATATCATGTGAGTGACAGGTCGCGTCGGTAAACAACACATCATCAGAAAAGAGAACTAGAGTTCAGTTAGCAGGAGACCTACACAATATAAAAGTCAAAACTATGTATTTTGAACACCATCTTTCAAGAGCAAGTGGTTTGCGAATCCTGCGTTTAACTCTGAGATTTGAGAAGCAGTCGTCAGTAAAATAAAGGCAACACCGCAAAAGTTTATAGGATTATCCTGCTGATACCGTGGTAAAGATTCATTTTAACCACCGATGCTCACATGCTCATGCTTGGGCATTGAAAAAAATGGCTTTATACCTTCACATTGGAGAGCACAGCGACTTCTCGACATGATGCTATCCAGTGTATCCACATGAATCACCTGGAGCGTTTGAGGAGGTTCAAGTTTGTTTCGTGGCTCATGACTCGTTTGAAAAACGATTCATTTTTATTGACTCAGAGTCGACTCTTACTTTTGAAAGACAATCACTTTATATATGTTTCACTTTTAGATTTAAAACTTTGCAGGATGTTTTCATTCACTTAGAGCTATGTTACACACAACATGAAAGGTAATTTTCAAAAATCAATTTAATAAATACTGGAATATTTCATAATAAGATAATTGACCGTTCATAAATAAAACAATAATTCAAATGATACAAAGAGTGCAGCATAATAAAATTAGAGAATGAGTACTAATAATTAAAATATATCAATTACAATCGCATCAGTCGCAAAATGAGTGATTTAAAAAGGTACATTTAAGATCTAAACGAGACTAAACAAATTTATAAACTCTCTCAGCTAAACTTCCTTCATCATTCTGGTTCTTCTTCAACCCACTGATTATAAAGCAATTTACAATGGTGGCGCATTGGAGCAAAGGAGTCAAATTCATTGTTAATTTGCAATTACAGCTCTTGGCATCAGAGCATGGTGGCAGAAATTAATGAACAATTAATGGGCCTAAATGAGACAATAGAGATGCTCACTGATCTTTATGCATTGCAGAAGAGTGTATAACACCTCAGCTGTAAGTCACACATAATACAGACTCAAAAGTAATCCAATTAGGTGCTAAAATACTAGGCATCTTTGTCTTTCCTATCTTTCTCTCGACACGTACACATGTTTGAGAGAGTGATCTAATAAAGCTGTGGTTAGGATGGTTCAACCTAATTTCAGTAATTCCTGTTCTCTTGACTTAAATCCAAGAATCCAGATTTCTCCATGCACCACCACAGTTGGTAGGTTTATGCTCTCCACTTTCTGGATAAAGAGTTCCAAATAATCTTATGAGTACCGAGCGAATGATGCACTGAATAAACGAATAACTTTTACAACAATCCATTCAATTACTGCCGTTGGCTGCACTACGTAAAGACCAAAATACAGTTCACTTACATCCCCTATAAAAAAACAGACAGAATATCGTTTCCACACTGCTCAAACTTAATAACTTCCTGACACTTATTCAGTGTCTTTTACAACAGCTCATAAATGCAACACAAATTTTCACTCTTCAACAAATACTATATAAACCAATCAAAAATAAAAGGTAAAGAATGTAGAGGGGGAAGAACTGATCAGTAAATGTTGAGTCAGAATGCGGAACGGCTTTGATTAATAGCAGGATTCTTAATGGGAATGGAGGGAAATGTTCGTCACGCTGGGCTCTGCCAAACTCATAATTACAGCAATATAAAAGAGCAGAGGGATCGTGTGCTGCTGCAGTGTCATGCCCCAGTGCACAGTCTGACAGAGCACACCACGCCATTACACTGCATTACGGATACCTTGCTGAGGTGTATTCAGCTCTCACTACAGGACAGGGGGATTTAAGAGCCATTTTATGACATATGACCAAGTCTGAACAGCAGTCTATATTGTATAGTGTATACTGCTGTTCAGCTTGTATGATACTGTAGATACCGTTTCAGTTACAGGTTAATAAGAGGTGGGTGCTAATGATGTACTGTAAACTGACATCCTATGGAGCACTATTTGAAACTTTGAATTTGGCCTCTAGCCGACCTGTTTTGTGATCTTAAAAAGTACCATAAATTCTCTCTTTTCTATTAATATTAAATGAACTCGCTCTGTAGAGAAAGCCAAGAGTTTCCAGTTTGGCGTTAAATTCACACAGGCGGCAGTCCCAATATGACAGCTAAATTCCCAAATTATATTATTTTTTTTCCTGTTAAAAAGCAAACAGTAATTTCATTAAGTAAATGGAAAAATAAATCATGGAAAATGTCATAATGGAAAATTCTTTTTTAAATACCTTTGGAACATAAAAAATAATGGTTGGGATACATTAATTTGATTTAATCTTTCAAAATCTATGCTCAAAAGTTATTGTGATCATGTTCATAGAAACAGCAGTAAAGAGAAGGCACAATTCGGTATAAAGAAAATAAAACTTCTGATAAATACTGTCATTAATTTTGGCAGATGGATGCCTCTGTACTGTCGCTGCACATAAGAAAGTTCTTAAAGGGATACTTCACTTTTTTTTTTGGAAATAGGCTCATTTTACAACTCCCCCAGAGTTAAACTGTTAAGTTTTACCATTTTTGAATCCATTCAGCCAATTTTCTGATATGTAGAAGAATATCAGTAACTAGTCAGTTTCTGATTCCATTGACTTCCATAGTATATATATTTTTATCCTACTATGGAAGTCAATGAGACCAGAAACTGTCTGGTTACTGATATTCTTCCAAATATAAAAAAAATAGGCTGAATGGATTCAAAAATGGTAACTCAACAGTTTAACTCTGGGGGACTTGTAAATTGAGCCTATTTCCAAAAAAAGTGAAGTATCCCTTTAATGATTGAATGCTAATATGGCCACTGAAGATGTTTAGAGGCTGTGTCAATCTGTTGATGCCCCACTGATGCTCTCTGTATCCCGATGAGCAAAACTTCTAGGGAAGATGCCGATTTTTCCAGCAATGTGCCCTTCTAGCCATTCCTCATTCACTGCAAAATGGAGAGGGAAAAAAATACTTTTATTACCCCAACACTGATCTGCAAAAGAAATTAAAATTCTCTAATTAAAAAGAAAAGACACCCCTGTGTTTACATACCTTCACTGAGGATGTCAATTGTGTCACCTTCACTGAATTCCAAATCCTCTGGGCCTTGTGCAATGTAGTCATATAGTGCCACCATCTGATAAAGAATGGTCCTGTTGGCCAGAGGGTCCTCAGTCTTGAGACGAGACGGGGGGGAAAAGAAAGTTGCCAAATATTAAAAATGCTAAATTGGTGTAACATCCATTTTTAATAGAAAATTTCCTAAAATAGTGTAAGCACTATTTGGTGCTATCAAAATCTGCTCTGTTTAAACATAGACACAAACTCAACCATTTGTGTGAAATTTTGGGTGACACAATATGACCAACTGCAGACAGCAGTGAGGATGAGGAACCTTTTAGAAAACAATTCTGGTCCACAATTAATCTCCTTTAACAGGCTGTATTGAGAGCTGTCAATCCAAAAAAATGGTAATTCGTAAGGTTACCTGACACCAGATTTCGGCACGTCCTGAATCAGCCACACCCTCTAAGCTATCCAGTCCATCGTCACCATTTAGTGGCCTTAGTACTCTGGTGCCATGCCTTCTGTGTCTGTGTGAGGAAGTATAATATTATGCGTTAAGGATGGTGAGGGGATTTTTCAATGAAATACATTTGACCAGAGTTCTAACATACTTTAATGCTGGGAATTTATGGCAACAAAAAGCAGGTCAGCCAGACTGCAGGTTTGCAATATTACCTGAGGCGAATGTTCGTCACGGGCTGTCCTAATTTCTGTGCGATTTTCTCTTGCAGATCCCGGAAAGGAGTATCTAAAGGGACTCTCAGAGCCATGGTGCATGTATAGTGCACCTTGACTATGACTGATCCAGAGTCCTGGGGTGAGGTTTGGGCCTGAAACAAAATTGGGGTCACATCTGAGGTTACAGAGATACAGTACATCTGAATTAGATTTTTGCTTTTAACTAGGGCTGTGCAAAAATTAATTGCGATTAATCGCATCCAAAATAAAAGTCTGTGTTTACATAATATATTTGTGTGTGCTGTATATAATTATTTTGTATATATAAATACCCATGCATGCATGTATATATTTAAGAATTATTTGCGCTTAAATTCTGTATATATAAATAAATACATAATCTATATTATATACATATAAATATTTTATACATGAATAACACATTTTCTTAAATATATACATGCATGTGTGTGTATTTATATATACAAAATAATAATATACAGCACACACAAATATATTATTATGTAAACACAGACTTTTATTTTGGATGCAACTTTTAACATCATAAGTATCAGCCAAGCGATTGAAGGTATAATACAAAGAACATGAAAATGATAGAAAAAGGAAAGTTTTTCTTTCCTCCCCCACCTCTCAGAGTTCCCCTTTTCCATGGCAAAATGCAAGTTTTGTTATAAGGTAATCGGGTTTCTCTACCAGGCAGTGGCCTTAAATAGTCTCCCCTCTAAATTGTCAGCGTTCTTTTGCTCCCTTGGGTGTATTTCTGACTGAATCAGGCCAAATCAAGGCCTTCTGCCTCAACACTCCACTCCACTTCTTGTCTGAGTCACAAAACTCATTCAAAAGATCTCATCTCACACAAAAGATCAACCATGACGGCCACTGCATTAATCATGCTCTGCTTCTATTTCCATCTACAGTACATGATACTGTCAGAAATTCTTTTTCTTTCTGGCTTGACAAATCGAACTAGGAGATACAACCAATTTGTAGAAGTATATAAGATATGAGCACTGAGGATCTAACCAAATGTTCAAGATTAGGGGGCACCAAATGTTAAAGTATGAAAAACCCATGTTTACAGACCACAAATCTGTTCATTTTTAATGAATGTAAATCATTTGAATTAGCTTCTAATTATTGGTGGAAAATCAGTGACAAAAACTGATTATGTGGTTGAAATAAAACGTTGGAGTTACTGTATTTGCTAAAGGGATCGCTGTTTTGTCCTGCTAAAAGGGGAGCATTCTTTTTCAAGTGTTTTATTACTCACCTGCTGCGTAGGGATGTTGCTGGAGTTGCTGGTCGTTGGTGGAGATGCGTGGGTATCACAGGCACAGGAGGGGTGCAACTCTACAGAAGAGAGGATGAAACTTGCATTTCTTCCAAATACTGGTACAATCATTTAATTTATATTTAGGACAGTTGAAGAAGAGACTATTATTTTATCACAACCTTTTTCTAGATATTGGAAAAGTTTTAAAAATTATATTGTCTTTCTTTATTTTGTATAATGACATATATTTTATAATAATTCTATAATAATAAAAACAACTTTAGTTATTGACAAACAGTTTCAGTTTCAATGCGTTTGCTTTTTCAGAAAACATTTTCTGTACCTAGTGAACGTTGAGATGGACATTGGGGTCGATTTGGGGGTTTTAGGGCTGGTGGATGTGGGATGCCATTGGCGAGTTCCTTCCAAGTAAAATGCAGAGAAAAGCACTCAGTATGTTACTGCCTAGAACAACTTTAATTCATATATTGTACATCAGATGCTGAAGAACAAGGTCACTGCTCCTACAGTATGCACTACAACATCACATCTCTGGGAGAAGAGGCTATAACTTTTACAAGTCTATTTTCATGAATGCTGCTTTCCTTTAGAACGACATGAAAGTGACAAAGAGGAAATTGTAGAGTGTGTAAACACATGTTCAGCTAGAATTAAACCGGTGTCTGCATTCATAAAATTCAGCATTTTACACCAAGCTCAACATATCTATGAGAAAGGATGGATGAGCCAGGGCAAATAACAGAACCCTATTATAACCCATAAAGAACAAACTGTGAGAAATGGAATAGGTCATACGAGGAGGTTAAAAAGTAAAATACTTACAATTCGCTTGACTTTACCCTTGTTTTTCTTGCCCATCGGTTCAAGCAGGAAATTGGGAACCAGACCTCTCTGACATTTAAAAGTAAAAAAAAAAAAAAAGAAAGAAAGAAAAGAAATAGGCCAGGTGTTATTCTATATTTTGTTCTCAGTTTTAAATCACATTTGATGTTGCCACTCAAACAGCTTTTGTGAATGTCAGAAATACAAAAGCAAGAATATCCGCTTGTTAAGTCTGACCTGTTTTCAGGAGACCATGTGCTGTAATACTACTGAAAAAATAATCCTAACCTTTACCTTTATACAGATATCTCTGATGATTCATCTTTTATAAATCGTTAAAATATAGGTGTCCAGGACGTTGTGAGCCCGGAGAATATTGTGTAGTACACCATTTTTTTAAACAGTTTTAAAACGCTTTGCTTGATAGGAATGTGGTATGGGGGGCGTGGTTCAGCGCTGTCTGCAGCGGGAGAGCGGGGGAGGAGTCGAGCGGGAAGTAAGCGGGTCAAGTGCAAATGATAAACACCTGTCTGTGATTGCAGTGATTGGCGTTGGGAGAGTATATAAGCGGCTCAGTGAGACGCTTCTTTTGAGAGAGTCTGGAGCTTGTGTGCAGACACCGGGAGCTGGAAAGCTGTGAACAGAGGAACTGTCCGAAACCCAAGGAAGCTGTGGTTCAGCGGGAACGAGTCTGTGATATTATTTTGTTGATGTTACGTTGAAGCGCGCAGTCGCTGTGAAAAGAGTATTTTTATTTGATCTGTCTGAATAAAGCACACAAGCTCCAGTATTTGCCGACCCCTTTGCCTTCTTCCATCACATCGTCTGAACCTTACCACACTGGTGCCGAAAACCCGGGATGGAAGAAGCAGCCGCCGCCAGGAATCCTCTGTCTTCGCCATTTGCGGAGATCATCCAGGGGCTCGCGGGCTTGCATCAGCAACACCAGGCAGCCCTGTTGAAGATGGAGGAGCAGCAGGAACGACGCTTCGACGCGCTCCTCCAGGAACAACGGGAGGCCCGCGAGCAGTTCCGGAGCTGGGTGGACCAGGGGGTCCGCTCCCCGCCCGCGGCCCCAGCCCTCCACAAGATGGGGCCGCTCGACGATCCGGAGGCCTTCCTGGACCTCTTTGAGAGGACGGCCGGGGCGGGGAAGTGGCCAGAAACTGACTGGCCGCTGCGCCTCATTCCACTACTGTCCGGGGAGGCGCAGCTCGCCGCCCAACAACTGCCAGTCAGCAGCCTCCTGGTCTACCAGGACCTCAAGCGTGCCATCTTGGAGCGGGTCGGTCGATCTCCGGAGCAAAGCCGCCAGCGGTTCCGTTCCCTAGAGCTGGGGGAGGTCGGCCGACCCTTCGTCTTCGCACAGCAGCTCCGGGACGCCTGCCGCAAATGGCTGGTGGCCGAGGGCCGCGACGTCGAAGGAGTCATCGAGCTGGTGGTGCTGGAGCAGTTTATCACCAAGCTACCCAAGAAAACCGCTCAGTGGGTCCAGTGCCACCGGCCGACGTCGCTGGACCAGGCCATCACGTTGGCGGAGGACCAGCTGGTGGCGTGCCCAGGGGTCGGCGAGCCCCAACCATCATCTTCTCTCTCTCTCTCTCTCCCCTCTCCCTCTCCCTCTCGCCCTGTCCCCGCTCCCAGGTCTCGAGGTGGATTTCCCCCGCGACCAGCACCCCGCTGGAGGTCCGGCCCGAGCACGGAGGCGCCCCGTGCTCCACCTCGGGGAGGATCCCTGCCTGGGAGCGTTCCGGCGTCCGCTGGCCCCGCGCTCTCCCAGCGCCAATCCCTTGACCCGCTTCCCGCCGCCGGAGTGGCGGGGAGGCCTGGGCCGGCCTGTTGGCGTTGTGGGGACCCGGGGCACTTTATCGACAGGTGTCCATTGATGGAGGTGGACACCTTCATTCGGGTCCCCTATGCGCCACAGGCTGCCCCCGATCAGACTGGGCTGTATCAGATACCCGTGAGTATTAAGGGGGTTACGTGTCAAGCTTTGGTGGATTCAGGTTGTAACCAGACCTCCATCCACCAAAGCTTGATTCAGCCAGGGGCATTGGATAAGAGCCGCGAGGTTATGGTGCGGTGTGTGCACGGCGAGGTGATGGGGTATCCCGTCGTGCCAGTCATCATCCGATTTAGGGGACAAAAACATAGTGTGGAGGTGGCAGTTAATCCGCACCTCCGGCACCCGCTGATTTTGGGTACCAATTGGCCGGGGTTTCAATCGTTATTGGCTTGTTTGTGTGCGGGTGCTCCTGGGAAAAAACAACGGCACCGGGGGGGGGGGCGACTGTTCAGGCCGGCGAAGCTGTTCCGGGACCATCGGCGGCTGATCCAGAGGAACGGAACGGGGCCGAGATACCCATCTTTTCGGTCCGTGATGATTTTCCTCTGGAACAGTCCCGAGATGATACGCTAAAAAACGCGTTTGAACGGGTCCAGGTCATCGACGGGCAGCCGGTGCGGCCCGATCAGCCGCTCACGTACCCATATTTTGCCATGATTAAAGATAGGTTGTATCGGGTGACTCAGGACATCCAGACAAAGCAAGATACAACCCAGTTGTTAGTACCTAAAAGCCGTCGGGAAATGCTTTTCCAGGCGGCTCATTCTAATCCGATGGCTGGACACCTCGGGCAGACAGCCACGTTAAATCGTTTAATGGCCCGATTCTTTTGGCCGGGCATTCATGAGAATGTGCGCAGGTGCTGCGCGTCTTGTCATGAATGTCAGTTAGTGAACCCTCCGGCCCATAGTAAAGCACCATTGTGCCCCCTGCCGTTAGTCGAGGTCCCCTTCGAGCGAATTGGCATGGACCTCATCGGGCCATTAGAGCGATCAGCACGGGGGCATCGCTTTGCATTAGTCCTGGTGGATTATGCCACGCGATACCCTGAAGCAGTCCCACTACGCAATATTTCGGCTAAAAGCGTTGCGAGTGCGCTGTTTCAATTAATCTCCCGGGTGGGAATCCCAAAAGAGATTCTCACCGATCAGGGCACGGCGTTTATGTCACGTACGATACGCGAACTATATGAATTATTGGGCATTAAATCGATTCGCACCAGCGTCTATCACCCACAAACCGACGGTCTGGTAGAACGATTTAATCGCACGTTAAAATCCATGATTCGTAAGTTCGTGCGGGAAGACGCCAAAAATTGGGATAAGTGGTTGGAACCCCTCTTGTTCGCTGTACGGGAGGTCCCCCAAGCCTCCACGGGGTTTTCCCCCTTTGAGCTTCTCTATGGACGCCAGCCCCGCGGGGTTTTGGATGTCCTTAGGGAGGCTTGGGAGGACGGACCTTCTAATAGCAAAAACGAAATTCAGTATGTCCTGGACCTGCGAACAAAACTCCACACTTTGGGGCGGCTCTCTATGGAGAATTTGTTACAGGCTCAGGATAGACAAAGTCGGCTGTACAATAGGGGGGCTAAGCTACGTAAATTTGCACCGGGAGATAAAGTGCTCGTATTACTTCCCACATCCAGCTCGAAATTACTCGCCAAGTGGCAAGGACCGTTTGTGGTTACACGGCGAGTTAATGATCTTAACTATGAAATCATTCGTTCAGATAGGGGGGGAGCACATCAGACATACCACCTCAACCTCCTTAAAAAATGGAATGAGGTGGAGTCAGCGATGCTGGCGACGGTGGTGAGTGGGGAGGAGGATCTCGGGCCAGAGGCGAATGTAAAAGTGCAATCCCGCCCTCTGGCCGCTTGTGGGGACCACCTCTCACCGTCCCAGATCGCTGACATCCAACAGCTACAAGCGGAATTCGCAGATGTGTTCTCACCCCTCCCTGGCCGAACGAATCTCATACAGCACCACGTTGAGACGGAGCCGGGCGTGGTGGTTCGCAGCCGGCCATATAGATTACCTGAACATAAGAAAAAGGTAGTTCAGGATGAATTAGCGGCGATGCTGGATATGGGGGTAATAGAGGAATCCAACAGTGACTGGGCAAGCCCGATAGTTTTAGTGCCTAAAACCGACGGCACCGTCCGGTTCTGTGTGGATTACCGCAAGGTGAATGCTGTATCGAAGTTCGATGCATATCCAATGCCCAGGGTTGACGAGTTACTCGATCGGCTAGGCACGGCTCGGTTTTATTCGACACTGGATTTAACGAAGGGATATTGGCAGATCCCCTTATCTCCAATGTCCAAAGAAAAGACTGCTTTCACGACGCCGTTCGGATTACACCAATTTGTCACCCTTCCGTTCGGTTTGTTCGGGGCACCCGCCACCTTCCAGCGCTTGATGGACCGGATTCTACGGCCGCATGCTGCATATGCTGCGGCGTACTTGGATGACATTATCATCTATAGTAACGATTGGCCGCGGCATGTGCAGCATTTGCGAGCGGTTCTCAAGTCGCTGAGGAGGGCGGGGCTCACGGCCAACCCGAAGAAGTGTGCGATTGGGCGCGTGGAGGTCAGGTATCTGGGCTTCCACTTGGGACACGGACAGGTGCGTCCCCAAATTGACAAGACCGCCGCGATTGCGACCTGTCCGAGACCCAAGACCAAAAAGGAGGTTAGACAGTTCCTGGGGCTGGCAGGATATTATAGGAGATTTGTGCCTGATTATTCGGACCTTGCTAGCCCGCTGACTGATCTAACTAAAAAGGGGGCGCCAGATACCGTCCAGTGGACGGAGCAATGCCAGCAGGCTTTTACCCAGATAAAGGCAGCTCTGTGTGGCGGCCCGCTCTTACAGGCTCCTAACTTTGCTCTTCCCTTTTCTCTGCAGACAGACGCGTCGGACAGAGGACTGGGGGCGGTCTTGGCCCAGGAGATGGAGGGTGAGGAACGGCCGGTGCTGTACATCAGTCGCAAGCTCTCCAAGAGAGAGACGATGTACAGCACCATTGAGAAAGAGGCGTTGGCCATCAAGTGGGCTGTCCTCACCCTCCGCTATTATCTCCTGGGTCGGGAGTTCACCCTGTGTACGGACCACGCTCCCCTGCAATGGCTCCACCGCATGAAAGATGTCAACGCGCGGATCACTCGTTGGTATCTAGCTTTACAACCATTCAAATTCAGAGTGATCCACAGGCCGGGTGCACAGATGGCTGTGGCTGACTTTCTCTCCCGGAGGGGGGGGGGGAGGCTGCAGGCCGGACGGCTCCCCGGCCTGAGACGGGCGGTGGGGGTATGTGGTATGGGGGGCGTGGTTCAGCGCTGTCTGCAGCGGGAGAGCGGGGGAGGAGTCGAGCGGGAAGTAAGCGGGTCAAGTGCAAATGATAAACACCTGTCTGTGATTGCAGTGATTGGCGTTGGGAGAGTATATAAGCGGCTCAGTGAGACGCTTCTTTTGAGAGAGTCTGGAGCTTGTGTGCAGACACCGGGAGCTGGAAAGCTGTGAACAGAGGAACTGTCCGAAACCCAAGGAAGCTGTGGTTCAGCGGGAACGAGTCTGTGATATTATTTTGTTGATGTTACGTTGAAGCGCGCAGTCGCTGTGAAAAGAGTATTTTTATTTGATCTGTCTGAATAAAGCACACAAGCTCCAGTATTTGCCGACCCCTTTGCCTTCTTCCATCACATCGTCTGAACCTTACCACAAGGAATAAATAGTCATTTTAAATTAGTGTTGAGATGAGATTCCCAGCAACTTAAACAAGTAAGCTTGGACCTGGAAACAGCCTTATGTCACAACTTAAGCAGATTGTCATAGAGGACAAACATTCAATGTGCCTCCATATCAATACAAATCCTCAGTAATCATCCTTCACATCAAAAAAGAAAGAGTATCCCACCTTTCCATCATAAATGACTACTGCCAGCCCGTCCTTGTCGTCGTCACTATACACAAACACTTCTGCTCCAGCAGGCACTGTTAGCTCCCCTGCCCCTTTTGCCACATAAGCACTCTTCATTACCATGTAACGAGAGTCCCTATGCAGGAATTATACATCATATATTATCTCCGTGTATTAAGCTGGTCTTGTAACAGTCTGTAAATATTGAATACTTACTGGCCGTCGACTACCTTTGGCTCATAGTACCCTGGTTTCTGCAGGAACATACATTATCAGTGGAGTTAAGTTTAGAAACAAAAAGACAAAATGTTGAGGTTGTAGCATCACAGGTGGTAACTTTACCTGTGGTCTGAGAGGATCAAAGCCCCTGAAGTCATCGTTTGGAATCAAAGAAGTGATGACCTGAGAGAAGAAGAGTTTTGTTTCAGTGAACATTTTGTCAAATTTATTGTATAGTGCTTTTAGAGCAGAATTATAATGTTTATGATTACAGACATTTTTTTTTTTAATCAAATGAACAGGGGAGACCTGCAGATGCATTCATTTTTGGGCAGCTTTTAAGTTCTTACATGTATTAAAATATTTTCTACATTTTTAACAGATTTTCAACTGTTTTCAGCCAGAGGGATGGCAACCACTAGGGGGCCTCAGCAAACTTCTAAGTTATAATTATTTGAAATAAAGACAAATTAAGCAGTAAACTGGGGGGGAAAACAAGATATTTTTTTATTTTATTTCACCTCCTCGTTATTGTTTTTTTTTTTTTTAATTCATAAATATCATTAATAAAACTCATTGCATTTTGGTGCATTCTCTGAATATACAATGTGTTTTTTGCTATGCCAAGATCAAAAAATATTTTATCAGGTAGAAATTGAGGGTGAAAAATATTTGTAAAAATCCTCATCCTTCCTCCACATCCATCCAGTAAATCCTAAACAACTGGAAAAGTCATGTCTTTGAATAATGTTGAGGACAATTGGGGGAGCTGGAGTGAAAAAGGCTGAGTCCCACTGACTTCTAGAGCATGCAACTTGAAACATTAACAGTTTGCCTTTTTAAAGTACTGCATACATGTCATTACAATTTATTTGTCTGTAATATTTGATATTTCACATTTAGGTTTGTCCATTTTTAAAATGTTGTGTACTTTACTATTATTGGATTAGTGAAGTGTATTGTGTAGTTAATTTCCAAACAGTTATTAAAGCTGCAGTACAGCGTGAAGATGTGAGTCACCTTTGCTTCACCCAAGAAGTCCCTCGGTTTAAGCTGATCTACTTCCTGTTTCCTGGGACGGAACACTTCACCCTCGGGCACCAGGAGAGGCTTTAAAGCCTCTCTCCTCTGGGAATAAATTGCACAGAAACAATAAATTACATTTAGTGGAGTGTTGTTCTCTGAAAACAGACTTCAGAGATTGTTACAAACCACTGTGTCCAGTGATACATTATCAGTAAAAGGCAATGAAAATGTAGTGGTGGATGTCTTGCACTATGAAATAGCTTTTAAGCCTTCTCTTTGCATTTTCTGAATATTAGTAGCACATAGATCTTACCGAAATGGCCTCTAGAGCTGTGTCTATTAGGTTGCTTCGGCCCGCTCCTCTCTCCTGTGCGGCCGACTGTAAAATATCCCTGGCTTTGTCCCATTGTTGCAGTCTAGAATGAATGGCTGCTGCATTATAAAGAACCTAGAAGTGAACAAACCCACACAAGTTGTATGCACCCTGCATTATATCATATCAATACGACATCAAAATATTATACACTATACTGTTCAAAATGTGGGGTCAGTAAGAATATTTTTAAACACTTTTATTCAGAAAGGATGGATTAAATTCATCAAAAGACACTAGATAAGTACCAGATCAGCATATTAGAATGATTTCTTAAGAAAATCAAAGTAAGTAAGCCTTTTTTCAAGATTTATGCATTTTAATTACTGTAATAGTAAAATTCCATCAAACTGAATTGAATAATCCTTACTTACTAGTCATATTATGAATTAAGTTTAAAAAAAAAAAACACATTTTTTAAAAACAAATTAAGTTTAAATCAAACATTTTTTAAAATCTCAAACTTAAATTTAAATATTTTTTCATTGTTTTATGAATATGAATTACATAAACTATATGGTTTCCAAAAAAAAAAAAAAATCTGTAGTTTTTTTATAGTGAGAAAAAAAGTTCATAATATAAATAATATATTCAGTTTAATTTGATGGAATTTTAAATTTTGAAAAAAGGCTCTAAAGATAGACAAGTTGTCCAACTTTTAAATGTGGTGGTGGTCACACATTGCCTCTATGAAACTCTTCTGTTTTTCAACTAATATGAATTTGAGGAACAGAAAGGTTGCTTCATCTGTCCAGGCTATCCTGAGGAATTCTGGATGTCTTATCATTTTTCAGCCTGGCATTTAACATTGCATAACTGTGGAGTTTTTTCACTCAGCCATCAAAGAGGCCTTGTGGTAGCTATCTGTGCAGGTGAACTCCACTAAAGTTCATGTTTAATGGCAGAGTTGACACAAGGGGAGACAGAAAATGTCAACAATTTCCCGAATTGAAATGCTACCAAATAAAACATGCACACTAAATCCAGACAATAATACTTTTTAATACTTTTTAGACAAGATTTTCTTTTTAATTTCCTCCCCACAATCAGGCAGAAATGTGCTTATTTTCTGACCTGCCAGGTGTACAGTTTATAGCGAAGACCCAGCTGTTTGTAGTCAATGACAGGGTTTTCCCTCATGTATTTCTGAGCCCATATACAATCAGACAATGCTTCCTCCAGTCTGGCATTAGAAAAGGTGACATAAATAAAGAAAAACAAGAGAAAGACAATGAGAAATGGAGAAAGCAAGAGAACAAAGAGGCAGTGTCAGATGAAAGTGTATCAACTGTCCAGAACATCACCTTTAAACAAAAGAAGTCAATGTTTGTGTTGCATCACACTGCGAATTACCAGACAGACTGGTCTACTCATTCAAAGAGATCTACAGTATAAAAACAGAATATTTCTCACCTGTTTGCCATCATATGAACAGCAGACCTCTGAAAAAATCCCACAGCAAGACAGCAATCCTTTGCGATTGCCTGGTCGAGAGCCTAAAAGGCATCATATGATATTGTAAGAAATCTCAAAATAAAAAGAATGAAAATCAATAAAATCAAGAATGTCCTTATTATCTTTTGCTGACGTTAAATATCATTAACTAATTATATATTAATATATAAATATTAACAAATGGGCTTTTAAACAGGGGTCTGGGGACCCCCAGGGGGGGCGAAAAGCAACTACAAGGGTCAAAAGAGCTGAAGAAAACAGTGAAAAAATAAAAAAATAAAAATAATTAAATAATTAAATAAATAAATGTCATTTAAAAAAATGTAATAAAATATATCAATAGATATATTTTATTTATTTTTATATAAGAATTATAATGACATATACAACAACTTACAGTTTTCCAAATAATATTTTACACATTTATATAATTAATTTTCACAGTCAATTGGGTCTTTATACATACAAACACATCGCTTTTATACAGTACATCCTTAATATATTTTTAGGATGAGGGTCCCTTGCACAAGGATAATTATATTTGGGGATCATAGGAATCTAGAAGACTGAAAACCCCTGAACTAAATCTATAAATGCTAATTAACAACTTAAGACGACTGTAATGAAGTATCATTACCAATTTCCTACATTTCTATCATTTCTTATGTTTAAGTACCAAGATTGTGGTTGTACCTTGATGGCCAAATCCACTTGACCCAGGGCGATGTGTGTCGACGCGACCACAAACATAGTGCGACAGTTGTGTTCTGTGATCTGGTTGAGTTTAGTGAGAGCGCCCTGCCAGTCCCGGCTGTCTATTGCCTGTACAGCCTCATCCCACAGCCTGATCAACTCTATGTACAGCATGGCCCTCTAGAACAAAACTAATAGGATCAAATGTTATTTATTAAAATTTAAATATTAATTAAAATAGACATTAATGGCTTTACTGAGAAAACAGCCAATTTTGCTCACAAATAGCTTGGAACAAAAAAAAAAAATCTGGCACCTGCCTACAAGTAGGCCTACAGGTGAGACTAAACAGGTTGTTTTAAGACAATAAAATCATAAAAGCAAAACCCAATACTAGTACAAAGACCGATACTTACCACAGCAAAGAAACTTCTGGAAATCTAGAAGTGATCGATCGTGAATGAGAGTGCTGCTCTGTAAGCCAGAACTCATAGTTGACTCACAGGGAAGTGATATTTGTAGTGTGACACACGGTTGTGGTTCCCGCCCTCTTTCCATGCCATCAGGAAGTCCTGCATTCCAATAAGTGAGAGAGAGAGAGAGAGAGACTTGAGTTGCAGGTAGGTCACGTACACAATGGTTCAATTAAACAATGAGCTGTTGAGTAAATCAAGGAAATAGAAAGACACTCCGCAGTGTGCACACACTAAAGTTGGTCTGGTCTGATTTTTGACCAGAAATCAATTAGGTTTTTTATTTATTTATAGGGAAGGAGTCAAGAAAAAGACTGGAGGGAGGAAATTTTCTATTTTACCTTTTTTTTTCACAGCAAGTTTACTGTTTTAGATTTTCCATCAAACACATGAGGCCTTAAGGTTATATAATTACGTTTAATTCCACAGTATCTTCAAATAAATAAAATAAAATAAACATTTCTTTCTAAATGGAGACACGTTATGTGGATTAATTGGGGACATATAATGTGGTTTTAAGTATATTATTTTCCGATTTTAATTTAGCCTGAGATACATGTGAAATATCTAGGAATGTGCAAATCTACTGCCAGTGTTATCTGCATGGCACTATAACCTATATTTTTGTAAATAATCCACCTAGGGCTCCTCCAAAACTCTGTTTTTAAAACAACATCTGCAATCATTTTAAATAAGGTGCAGTCCTTGCCTAATGGTTAAAAAGTCAGACTTATAATTTGATTATAAAGAAGGTTGAAGGTTCCATTCTAAATACCGACAGGGAAAATGCCCTTGAGCAAGACTCCAACCCCTAATCTCTACCCACAGTGTAGCCTACGTTTCAATGGTTACACAAGAACACAGGCACTAATGTATATAAAATATGTTATTATTATTAATATATTATTAACAAACTGTAAATTATGTTATCCAAGAAAATACCAAACTTATTGCTAACTGTTACAGCCTAATTCATAATTTTAAAACAAATCAAAATTTTCAATACCTCTTATGGAAAAACTGTAAATTGCGTAAAATCTCTATGTGAATCGAACTGCAGCACTGCCACTGCTCAATCATTAGTTGTATAGGTGGGTACTTGTAAAAAGTAGCTTTTTAGACATAGGCTATGTACAAATAATTGTCTTCTGTATTTTAGGGCTAAACAGCTCAATACACTATGTATTTATGACTGCATCACATAGGCCTATAGAAGCAGTGGATTAAAAGACAGGAATGCCCTTTTAAAAATTGCTTTCACTTATGGATTCCACAAGATGTATGCATGTATTTATTTGTCCTTCTATATAGGTCCTGTTTTTAAGCTTTTTATAATGATAATAATAATATTAAATATTAATAATAATCGAACCCGCTCATTTTGACCGTCACTTATTTAAATGCATGAAGACTTTTACTTTGAAATCGTTCCTGACTTTTACTCTGCCTAAAACTTTAAAAATGTGTGTAAATTATTGTTAAACTGCGAAATTGCTCGGTTTATTGCTAAGACAACCTTTAACTTGATAATAGTGTAAATCATGAACTTTTATTCCAACAGAGAAAGACGACTGTCTGTAACATAACACCCAAGTCACATGATAGCTAATGTGATCACATGACAATCAACACTAGGCTGTGTGAAGATTTCTTTAAAGTCCACTGAATTCTGAATTGATCTATGGGGTCTTTGTGAGAATGGCTGCACGGTTGCTTTTCCTTGGATTCATGTTACTGATCCTCGGTGGAAAGGCTGAGACACGTTTATCTGAGGTAAGTTCTGATCTGCAGTTATAGTTGTATATTTTGAAGTTGTATTGTTATTATGACAGGCTAGCTGTTCCAGTTGTTTTCATACAGTTTATAGACCATTTAATTCTTTAATCTGTTAATTCCTTACTGTTCTTTGGAATTGTCTTTTTTTTTTTCAAGGAAAAGCTCAATAATGAGGTCATCCCATCTCACAGAGACCTTGCTGCTGATTTCAAGGAAATGTATTTTAAACAGATTTTAGACCACTTCAATTACAACAGCTTTGGCAATGGCACATATGAGCAACGTTACCTTATTACAGGTACTGTAGTCTGCCACACTTTCATACCATTAGTCTGTATCTTTTTAAATTATATTCATACTAAGTGCAGTGTGTGTTTATTCTAGATCAGTACTGGAAGAAAGCCTATGGACCCATATTTTTCTACACTGGCAATGAGGGGGACATATGGGAGTTTGCACTGAATTCAGGCTTCATCACAGAGCTGGCAGCAGTGCAGGGAGCCCTTGTGATATTTGCTGAGCACGTAAGATTTACTGTTCAATCATATGACCATGGAGGAAGTTAGACATTAGAAAAGTGTAGATGTCCACTTAATGCAGTCAAACAATCTACCGGTCAGAAGTTTGAAATAATTCAGATTAACATGTTTTTTGAAAGAAGTCCCTTATGCTCACAGAGACTGCATTTATTCGATCAAAAATACAGGAAAAAATATATATTTATTGTGAAATATTATTACAATTCAAATGATAAGATTTTATATGATTATATGATATGATTTTATATTTTAAAATGTAATTTATTCTTCTGATGGCAAAGGTGATTTTTGTTTTTCAGCAGAAATCATTGCTGATTTGGTGCTGCTTAATTATTATCAATTATTATCTGTGCTCAATAAAAAGAAATGAAGGATTCTATGATGAAAAAAGTTCAGTGAACAGCATTTATTTGAAACATGAATCTTTTGTAAAATGATAAATGTCTTTGCTGTCACTTTTGATCAAAATAATGTATCTAGGTGCATTAATTGAAATAAATTATTAAAAAAAAATCTTACCACAAACCTTTGAATGGTAGTGTATCATGGTTTCCACATAAAAAGAAAAACACAACCGTTTTCAACTGATAATAATAATAATAGTTCACTTATCACCATACAAGAATGATTTTGTGACACTGAAGCCTGGAGTAATGATGCTGAAAAGTCACAGGAATTTTTACACAACATTGCTGTTTTCTCTGTGTTTTTGAGTGTATACCTGTCCATTAATGTTTACTTTTGATTTAAACGCTAGAGATATTATGGAAAATCTCTTCCGTTTGGGAAGGATTCATTTAATATCCCTGAGGTGGGGCTGTTGACAGTGGAGCAGGCCCTGGCTGACTATGCGGTCATGATCACAGAGCTAAAGAAGGAACTGGGAGCTCAGACATGTCCCGTCATCGTCTTTGGTGGAAGGTGGGTGGGGTCTCTGGTAGCTTTATATTTACCCATCATCCCCTGACACACTCGCACACATAGATAAATATAATTAATATAAATTAATTAAAAATCATCATAACTAATAGTCATTTTATATAATGCAATAATAATTGCTAGTCATGACATTTAAACATTATTTGCTATATTATTATTATGTCTGTTTTTATGTCAGCTATGGAGGAATGTTGAGCGTTTACATGAGAATCAGGTACCCGAATATTGTTGCTGGTGCGTTAGCCGCTAGCGCTCCCATCCTGTCCACCGCAGGTCTTGGAGACTCTACACAGTTTTTCCAGGATGTCACTGCTGTAAGTTCATATTAAATTCCTTTCAGGCACTTTAGCTTGAAAACATGCCTTTAAAACTATCATTTCAAAATAAAAGATGTGTTCTGTTTGCTTGTTCAGGATTTCCAGAAGATGAACCCTGCCTGCAGAGATGCGGTGAAAGGAGCTTTCCAGAAGCTAAACACTTTGGCTCAACAGAAAGGTATGTACCCCTTCACTCAGGATGCTTAACCATTACGCTCTGCGTTTGTTTCACTGGCTTGCTCTTTGTTCATCCTCCGTAGACTACACCCGTATCCAATCTGCTTTCTCGCTGTGTAAAACACCCTCCACCCCAAAGGACATTAATCAGCTGAACGGACTCTTACGCAACGCCTTCACCATGTTGGCCATGTTGGATTATCCCTACAGCACTCATTTCATGGGCAGCATGCCAGCCTTCCCTGTGAAGGTACTGGACTTATCACTAGCGTGAATTTTGCAAACTCTGTCACCAAATGGGAAGGGGATAGCATGAAAAATAAAAGTGTGCCTCTGCAAGGCTTTAATCCAGAAGGCAAAACCTAATAGTGTTAAACAAATGTTTCCCTGATGCTTTGAGCAAATTAAACCATTCCACGCCCATCTGGTTCCATTTAAAATGGCTTACTAGTGCAGTTATTGGACACACTGATAAAGTTCAGTTTCTTTTTTACTTTGACAGGTGGCGTGTGAAACCATGCTGAGTGGCACTGATCTCATGTTGGCACTCAGAGATACTGTTGGTAAATGACTGCAGCTCTGCACAGATTTTGATTATTTATCATATATATACTTAAGGCTCTGCATTAATTTTGTTCCTACCCCCACAGGCATTGTGTATAATTCCACTGGACAGCTCGCATGTTATGACCTGTACAGTCTCTATGTGGAGTGTGCCGACCCCACCGGCTGTGGCCTTGGCTTTAACAGCTATGCATGGGATTACCAGGTACCTAGATGACTTCTCACTAAACCATGAATACTAGTTTTTGGTACATGCTGAAGGTTCACTGTAATATTAGAGCCTTGATCACCGATTAGAGAAGATCGTAAACGTAATTTCACATGTTTATGCTAATAATTTGTATTATTAGACCTCACACAAGTCTTAAGGAAAACATTTATTTTACCCTCCCTCCTCCTCATCTACACTGACCCCACCCCCAGGGTCTTCTTGTCAGTTATTAGCTGGAACAGTTTGTTATGCTTCGTGGAGTGGGTTGACACAATTTGTTTTTGTTGCCATTTGTGGAGCCTGGGTTGTCTGCATAGATGGCGTTTTATGTTTAGGGGACAGGCAGATAGCAGATAGTGAGGAGATTTTGCTGTATGTGACAAATGTTTGGGCCTAAAAAACTTGACATCACTTAGAGCACCTTTAAAAATATCATGAGAGATGGGTATTATTGATATATTTTGTCATAGAATAAAACATGAAAATATATTGTGTTAATAACCACAGGCCACATTTCCGGCATTTAAAGGCATTCAAAAAACATTGACTTCAGGACAATGGAACTGGAAGTTCAAAATGCTAACTCATTTCCAGCTTTTAGGACTCATTTTTCCAGCTCTATATTGTTTTCTCTCTCTCTCTCTATGATTTTTTTTTTTTTTAAATAAAGCTTGCAGTTCTCTCTGATATATTGGGTTACATTGGAATATTCACTTGTAATCGTATATAAAAATGTCTTTATATAAAAATGTTTTTTTAGGCCTGCACTGAGATCGAGATGTGCTATGAGAGCAACAATGTGACAGACATGTTCCCAGCGATGACATTCACCAAGCAGCAGAGGGAACAGTACTGCTCAAAGAGATGGGGGGTGCTGCCACGGCCAGGGTGGCTCAAGACCCAGTTCTGGGGACAAAGTAAGCTAGAACTACCAAACTGTGGATAAGTGTGTTTTTTTTAATAAATAAATAAATAAAAAAACCTCATGTTTATGCATCAGGAGGATACACTTGTCTTTGCTATCCTTTTAATATTCATTGATGACTGCAGTGAACTTGGAGCTAACTCTTGCAGCCATTTGAATTATCTCTTCTAGATCTCTCCACTGCAAGCAATATCATATTTTCCAATGGGGATCTTGATCCTTGGGCAAATGGAGGGGTGAGTTTTACTTAAGACTTGTATTAAATGTATTATTTAAATATAAAGTTGTTTGTTTTTTTTTCTATTAAGAATAATCATAATAGTTAATTTCAGTAATTCCCTTGTTACACTGAGTGCACTTTTAATTCTTTGTTCTGTAATAAAGGGTATTTTGTTGCTCTTCTCTGTAAAATATTTAATGGAATTTTCACCTGTAGATCAGGAAGACACTCAGCCCATCACTGATTGCAATCAACATACCAGAGGGAGCTCATCATCTGGATTTAAGGTGCGAGTTCAACTGAGGCTATTTTCAGGCTATGTTTACACGGAAACCATTCTGAAGAGAAAACGCAAAAGTGTGCGTTGCGTCATCACTTTTTATTCTGCGTTTAGACGAGCGTTTTGTGTGGGAAATCCGCGTGCAAATGGTGACGCAAAGTGTGTGATATTCAAAGTAGTATGCGCTTCAGGCGGCTAGGAGTGCATACTACAACACCACCAAATCCACGCGCCTGCGTACAGCCTTCACTGTCGAGCAGACTTTTGCGTTTTTACCGTTTTACACGGGAATGCGGCGGTGGAGCGTTTTTAAGATTTCCACTCTGGAGGGTGGTTTCACTTTTTTGCGTTTTTAAGCCTCAAAAACGCCGTCGCTGAGTAAACTAAAGGCACATCCGATAAAATATTTTTACGTTTTCACCCGCGAGGGTTCTCGTGTAAATAGGGCCTCAGACTGCAGGCAAATCAGATATCTGCACTGTTAATTGCAAGTAATCAACTGATATTTGATTATTTGTGCGTCCAGACATAACCAACCTATCTGCACGGGTTGCTTTGGTAATGACGTAGGCTTACACACGTATGTTATAAGGCTTTCAAAACAGATGCAGGAAAAATGGAGGTCCATCATCTCGCTCTCCAAATAAGCGCCCTTTTTAGTCACCGTGCAGAACCCAACGATTTAAGCCATGACCACAACATGGGACATCACAATATATACCAGTCTCCTCCCTCACACATGAAAAACTCTGTGACGGAGGAGAATGGGAATATATTGTAATGTACAGACCGAAATCTTTGGACATCACTGTTTTAATACTTCAGGCATTTCCGTTTTGACATTATCATAAGAGTGATGCATCCTGACTGAGACATGTGTTGAAAATCTGATTGGAATCGCAATTACTCATTTTATTTTTTTCCCCCAGGGAGTCCAACCCTGCTGATCCCGAGTCTGTGATTGTGGCTCGTAAGAAGGAGTCTGAAATCATTGCTCAATGGGTGAAGGCGGCAAGGAAAAAAACACCACGAGTTATTTAATGTACAATTTATTTCAACATTTGTGAAATTGTAAAATATGGAATAAATCCATCTATTTTCCACAAATGGACATTAAAAAGATGTATATTAAATCCAGAAATATCAATTTGTCAATAAAAAACATTTTCATAATGTACAAGCTCACTCTTGTCGAAAATCATCATTTAGAAATTGCCAGATTGAGTTGTGGTGAGTCAAAGGAATATATACAGCTGTACCACATTATAATTATTATTGCCCCGTTTTAGCATATTCTTTCAAATTCATGGCACGTCTTTGGTGAATGAATGATTCGGAACTATGCTGATTTGTCAATATGCATGAAGCAGATGATAATTTAATACATTTGCACAACAATTGAGAGTGAGGCATGAAAAGCCCTTCATTTTAATCTGAGTTACACAAGCAAGCTGTCTTCAACTTCTCACACATAATATAATATAATAAAATACCCAGAAATGGTATACAGATGGCAAGTTAATCTATCACTTACACACTGAATTATAAATAATCACAAGTATTTATTCACAAAAAAAAGAGAATCATAAATAGCTTCACAACAGGAATGAGATGATTAGAATAGATTGATTTCTCTTGAAAATAGTCATTTGTCATCATTGCTCTGTATGTAAAGGCACACGCGGAACAGAACCCCTCACCACAGCACGACGTCGAGAAACCAGTCAACGTTCAGCCCTTGATGAACAGCTGTAATGTGTATATACACTACCTAAACAAACCTCTGGATAATATTACTGTAAGATTCGGCACAGTGAGACGTAATGTTCAACCAGCTTTTCAAATACAATGCCTTAATACACCTGTGATCTGTGTAAACAACAGGTCTATTCTTTGATGATCAAAAAGTTGGTAGCCCTGCATGTTATCAGTAACCTTAAGACATCCTGTACATTCTATTCTATTTAAACTGATCTGTAATCAGCAAAGAATGAATAACTTAAACATTCCATTTGTCTTCCTGCATAAAAACATTTGGAATTTTGAAGATTCTACAAAAAACAACCCCAAAAAACAAAATCCAATTATTCACGTTTCACAAAATATTCGACCAATACGGTATGTTGAAACTAAGTTCATCATACATGTTAAAATACTACAGACACATTCTTATCTGATGTAGGTCCCGCGAAAGAGTGAGATAACTACATGTGCCATAATATATTAAAGACCCTTATTTATTTATTTTTTTTAAAAACATTGTGCTTGATTAATGCTCCATTAAAAGACTTTACCACAAAAAATGGGACAAAACTGAATAAAAATCTAGTAACATTAATAATGGTTCATATGACCACCTGCTAGCGAGTTTTAACATCAAAGGGAGATTTTTAATATACAAAATAATAAATCCTCTAACTAACACCAAACATGGACATTTCTCCTATCCACAGGAATGGCAATAAAATCCTTCACAGCAAGAATGGGGTTTTAAGCTCAAAAAAAAAGAAAAAAAAGAGACACATTCAGATTGATAACACAGATGTTTAAAAATGTTCTCTACACTTTACAATAAGGTTTACTGTGTTAACATTAGATAACTACATTAGTAAGCAAGAACTAACAATGTTCAATACTTATACAGCATTTACTGATCTTAATGTTCATATGAACATTTTTTTTAAAAGATAAAAAGTTGTATCTGTTCATATATTAGTTAATGCACAGTGAACTATTCACTAACAAAAAGTAATAAATGCTGGAAAAAATTTATTGTTCATTGTTAGTTACTGCTTTAAATAATGTTAACAAACGAGACCTTATTGTAAAGTGTAACCACATATTCCAAATGCTCCGGAAAACTAATAAAACCATGAAAATAATTATGTTGCAAAGAAAAATAAATTTACAAAGCTAAATAGACTCCTTAAGAAAGACTCCCCACAACAAAAACAGCAGTGGTTCTTTCATTAAACGAAAATACACACACACACACTAAAACCCCCAAAACACACCATAAAGTGCTTGCAGTCCCCATAAGGTTTCACAGTATGAACGTCTTTTTGTTTGTCTGTGTGCTTGGGCTGAGAGACTGAGCATATTGATTCAGTTGGTTATCTAAGCAGCCCAGCTGATCAAAGTATCATAGAAGCATAAATAGAGAAACTCTATTAATAGAAACATCCAGAGCACAAGAAACTACGCACCTACAAACAGATTTTTGTCATGGCTCTAATTATTTCACCAGAAAGTGACTTTCAATTACAAAAGAAAAGAGTTCCTAGTGTAGAAAAAGATGGCAGTTTGGATATCAAATGTGTCCAGGGCCCTGAGAGAGAGGTGTGTTTGGTTACGCAACGTGTGCTTGTGGGTCCATCACTCTGCTTGTGGCCATATGGGCAGAGGATGGGCCTCAGTGTTGAAAACGTACTTGTCTAGGCTGATAAGGTCGGGGTCCTCGGAAAACAGCAGGTAGAAGTATTTGAGCGTCTCACCCAGGAAGAAGCTCTCCATCTTGTCTCGAGGGCTGGGATAGGCTGGGTCACAGACATTGTTTATGGATGTATAACCTCCAGTGGGAACCTGTGGGGAGAGGGACACATGAGTCAGAACAGAGTTGTTTGCTAACATCCTTGTAAACTGTTGATATGAACTGAATGCTGAATGTGAAGTTCAGAAATGCAGAAAGAAAGTGGAAGTACATTTGGAAAAGGAGCAAGGCAATGTTTGTATAAACCAAGCCAAATATGAGAAGCCAAGTAGCAATATATCTGACATATGAAAGTCAGAACTGAGCCAATAATATCACACTTTCATTCTGACAGAGCACCAAGGTTTGGATTTGAGCCAGTATGAAAAATAATCTTAAGACATTTTCTGGCCAATAACTTTCCGTGGTTTTTCATGATGAATGGATAAGGACGTTTAAGTACATTTTCTATGACCTTTTAAGAATTTATTTCAATGAATTTTCCTGAAAAAAACAAAAACAAAGTTGTGTTACTCACTAGAATTATGCACTTTTCTGATAACGTGCATACTAAGTACAGCAGGGGTGCCCAATCCTGCTCCTGCCGATCGACTGTCCTGCACAGCTCATCTCAAACCCTAATCAAACACACCTGAAGCAATCAATTAAGGTCTTTAGGATCACATTCAGGTGTGTTTGATTAGGGTTGGAGATGAACTGTGCAGGACAGTCCATCGCCAGGAGCAGGATTGGGCACCCCTGAAGTACAGGAACAAACTGCATCTTTATACTAAAAACCCCTCTGATTCATTTGCATATACACTACACTTTAAAAGTGTAGCTTATTTTTCAAACAAGTCTCTTATTCACACCAAGGCTGCACTTATTTGAACAAAAATACAGAAAAAAAATTTGAATTCGAAATAATGTGAAATACTATTGCAATAATAATAATTTAAAAAAATTGTAGCCGTCATTACTCAAGTCTCCAGTGTCACATGATCCTTCAGAAATCATTCTAATATGCTGATCTGCTGTTTAAGAAACATTTCTTATCATCAATGTTGAAAACAGTCGTGCTGCTCAATATTTTTGTGGAAACCGTGATTTTTTTTGACCAATAGAAAATCCAAAAGAACAGCAATTATTTTAAATCTTTTATAAAATGTTTTTACTGCAAATTTTGATCAATTTAATGCATCATTGCTGAATAAAAGTATTAATTTCTTTTTAAAAAACGTTTTCTTTTCATTTTCTTTTAAAAAACCTGCTGTAATAGCTGAAAAACTTCAACTGATCAATGGCTTGTGAGCAATATTATCTGAAAAGAATTCAGAAGCACACACTTCAAATATCCACCAGTTACACCTTTGGCAAACTATTTTCTATGAGTTCATTTACATTATTTTTGAATCTTGCATACTCTTAAGAATGGAAAACATGTAAATTTGGATGCATCTTCCTTCCACTATTTTGCATGTTCTAGAAACACCTCAAGGTAACAGTGGAACAGTTTCTCACTCTCTCACATACCCGTGTGTACTTATTGAAGTTCTGTAGGATCTCCCAGCCCCACTGCTGGTACTTCTTATCCTGGGTGAATCTGTACATGTAGAAGAGGCTTTCCACAGTCTCTGGCCGCAGAAGGTTGTGCCGGTCAGCAATCTGCAGGATATTACAAAATCACACAGACCATGATTTCATTTCACATACTCAAACAAAGTATGTACATATACTACTAGTAAAAAAGTACGTCTAATACTAATAGTCATAAAGCATACTACCGAGAGCAGTGAAAACTTAAAGCTCTCCGTCAGCTCACCTTTACATCTACATCCTTTGTGCTCCCCTCATGCATGTTGAAATGAACTATCTCCGGGCTCAGACCCGTCTCCATCTGGGCATACATCTGGTAGCAGGTCTCCATCAGCTGTTTTGCCAGCTCCAAATGATCAGCAGGAAGGCCGTAATGTGCCCCCAGTGCCAGTGTGCCAGGCAAGAAACATACCAAATGGTCCTAAAAGAAATGAGAATGGAGAAAAGAGAAAAAAGGGCTAGATGAGCTATTTGACTCTTCTGAAATTGAAGGTCTTGTTATTCTTTGAGAACAAACATACCATTTTGGGGCTGAAGTGTCCATGGGACATCTCTCCAACAAATGTAAGACCTTGAGGAACAGACTTGTTCAGCAGGTTCTTCTTCACCCCTTCCACGGCCAGCAGGTAGTCATCTAGCAATCTGAACACAAACTAATTTTAATAATTAAAAAAGAGACTGAGCACTCAATTGTCAATATGTCTGTTTTGTCGAGTCTCCTCATAAGAGAAGTCTTAAATGAACAAAGAGTTGAGAAAATGAGACGTGTGTGAGATTTGCGTCATGTGCAGTAGCGTCAGATTTTAAAGCGACAGCAGCCACTCATGTTGTCTGTCATTAATGTTAATGAAAGAACAAAGGGAACAGAGACTGCTCTTGACTAAATAACTTTTGTGGGACTTTTAGTATAAGGATTAATCTGTAGATAATTAATAATTTATGCAGTTCAGACTGTTTGATAACTTTATTTAATTGTATTTCTGTATATTTCCTACCTGTTAGACAGAAGGCCAAAGGTAAATATGACATTTATTATGGGTTTATGTGAGGATTGTTTGAAGGTCACTTAAATTAAAAGTTGTTGTATTTTTTGAAGCCTAATAAATGTTAATTGATAGATTTTAATTACACTGTAATGTTAAATGGATATAATTTAATGTTTAAAATTGGGGGTGGAGGGGCATCCTTTTCATCATGACATCAGTAGCCGTATTAGTATCAGTGATACTGGCCTTCATTCATAAAAAGATGCCATTAAACAGGTATTTAAAATACTGTCTTTATGTTGTTTCTACATTCGGAGATAAACTGGAATTATTACATTATAAAATATGTTAAAAACGTATGTTTTTAATTGCGAATAATCACAGAAAAAAATTTGATTCATTGAATTAATTAATTGTACATATACATAATATATATGGGCTGTCATCATTCCACAGCCAAAATTCTGGTATTGACCCAACCCCAATAGGAATAAACTATAACGTCCAAACATACATGACCCTCGACTCACTCGTTCTCTGTCCTGCCTCCCTGTATCCACTGCTTCAGCAAATACTCATAGTAGCTGTCAGCCCTGGCGCCCAGCGTGTAAATGCCCTGATGGGTGAACAGCCCGTTGTTGGTATTTATAAACATCGGCACCAGCCCATCTTGCTTTCCGTCCAGTTTATGCACCTGCTGCATCACCTCCATCACAGCAAGCTACAGAAAGAAAGCCATGGATGATAAGTAACCACCTGTTCTACTGAGAACCTGTTCTTAACTGTGAAAGACTATCCACCCACCTTGTATTTGGTGTCTCCAGTGAGTCGGCTGAGCTC